TGTTTCTGTCTTTTTTCCTCATGCCCCTGAGGCTTTCACTCCAAGTGACCTGGATTTACCTCTTGTATTGTGTTTAATTATAGTGCATTGCCGTAGAAGAAAAAGCTGCTCTTGGTATAGAAAGGTTTGCATGAAAGCTACCCTGTTAACCCTAGCTAGGTATGCACTAGTCCTGGACCTTTCTTCCGTGTTCCCTTGATCCCTAACATGCAGAGAGCAACTCCCATTTATTTATTGCTCCAGCTGCTCTAGCGCTAAAGTTGGGAATACTTTTGACCTCTGTAGCCAATCTACATGCCAAAGCTTTTTATTCTTATAAATAAGATTAAGAGGAGAAAAAGAAAATAATTTACAAATTTTGCTTAAATAAAATTACATTAATAATGAAAGTTTCTCTGCTGTCCTCAAAGCCGTGAAAATTTTAATATTTCAATGTGAAAAATCTGACCAATAGACTTGGATTATCTTAAAATTTTTTCCCAAATGGTTTTTCCTAAGTGTCCGTAAGTTACAAAGGAGACATTATATACTGTGTTTTTCTTATGATTGAAGTTGGGAGGACCTTGATTAGTTGGTTTTTATTAATAGCAAAGAATTTATTTTAGTTTGTCAAAAGCTAAACATACACATGAATTATATCTGTAGGAAAGCTACTTTTTAATTCCAATTTTGATGGGAGTATGTTTGACTCCTTGATTGGAATTAACATTTCACTTTGGTAAATTGGCACACCTTTATAGAACATTTTCACCATATGGTAATATTCTGTACTCATATTTTTAGTGTGAAGTATTTGATTTTAGTTACCACAGCTATAATGTTTATAGCCAGCCATTTTAGCTTTCTACCTTTTAGCAGTCAGTGCTTTTTAAAAATCTCAGTCTAAGACTTGTAATGCATAGATAGCTCCTGAAAAAGTTCGCATGAAGCTTTTAATTGTGGTTGTCTTTGGGGTCTTGGTTGGGAAAGAGATTATTTTTTAATCATGGTAAAAATCTTTTAGGAAGGTATATTCTAAAGTTTTTTAATATCTGGTGGTTTTGTATTTGCATTTTAGTCATGATGAAGATGAAATTCGGCCTGTGCAACAACAGGACCTGCATCGGGCGATTGAAAAGATGAAGAAGTCGAAGGATGCAGCGTTTCAGAATGTTTTAACACATGTTTGTCTAGATTAAGAGTAAACGTCATTTGTGCAGGTCAGTGCAGCCTGGTTGGGTGTGCCCTGTTATCATTAGTGGAAATAGAGTGGAAGGAATGGTGTTCTTACACAGTGAGGGAGTTGAATGACACTGGTTTTATACTCTGAATTCTAAGTTATTGAGACATGGTTGTTCTATAAATGGTATTGCCACTTGTCAAAAATCATGAGGAGGAACAATTTAACCCAGCCTGCGTGTGGGTGCTTGTGTTTGGCCTCTTTAGCCATATGTTGCAGCCTTATTACATCTAAGCTTGTCTTAAAGTGACAGGTGAGTCATTGAGTCATTAGTGAGAAATGGAGATGTGGTTAAGTGCTGCTTTCTAGATATGTGAGCGTGTGTGTGTATTGAATGTATATAGTCACACATTTTATATTGACATTCTGTAGATATGTTTGAATACAGAAACTTTTTTTTACCCCCAACTACTGAATCAAAAAGTACTAAATGCTATATAGCGAAACTAAGATTGATGGTTGTGTCTATAAGGTACAGCGATTCAGCCATTTTCAGTTGTCACTTGTTTCAGCTTTTTTTTAAGTTGAGCATTCTCTGAAGTTGAACAGTTGGAGTCAGCCACATATGAATACTTAGATGTGGCTTAGTTATTATGGTTGTCAGGATAACCGTATAATACTTGTTCAGAGATCAGCATTGAATGGTTTTCAGGCAGTTGCGTGATCAAGACCAATTTCACTTTTCCACAGCACACTGAGTAGAGACATTTATAAATTGATATACGTAACGGTGATTGAAAGACATTCAAAAGAATAGCTTAGAAAAACCTCAGTGCCATACAACACATGTATGTGACTTCCCCTTTCTTCATCTAATGTTGCCTAGTTCTGTTGTAACTATGATTTTTTAATGTTATTTTATAGTTATGTGTTCTTTATTTATGGTCAAATATAATTTGGTCATCAAAAATAAAATGATAATTTGAAACAAGTAGCTGTTACTAAATATACTTAAAAATACTCATTTTGTAACTGAAATTTAAAGTTTTCTTAGCATATTATAAATTGTGCCCCAGTTAGTACAAATATACACACATCAAAATTCCCATATTGTATCTATAGTCACTTGAGGCTGTGTGTGCTAACATGTCAGCGAAACATTTTTTTGTCCACAATTTCACTAATTAGAATTCTGTTACGGCACTTAAACACACAGCATGAGGAGCGTGGCACACTGTGACAGAGGAACCTTCTGAATCATCAGGAAGATTAAATTATGCTCTTTATGTTTTTGTTTTTATTGTATTTCTTTGAAAACTTTCAATCTTTATTTGTGCATTATTGGAGTAACTTTTTGAGTCTCATTAGAACCTGCTAAATAGTTGGTTCTTCAGTTGTGCTTGGTGGGTGGGGTATAGGTTCTGGGATAACACTTTGGATAACAAAAATCAAGTTTTGAAAAATTGTGAAGATGATTGAAAAATTGAATGCAAAACACAAGATACCAAAAAAATATAGTCTCCATTTTTAATAATTATACTATTATTTTATAAATGTGTAATAAAGAGGTCCCTCTTAATTGATTTTTCTCTACTTATGGCTTGGTCTTTTTCAGTTATGTAAAATTTTCTGGGTGGTTTTGGTTTATAAAACTTGCCCTTGGACTGGTTTTATCTTGCTGTGCAGCATTCACACTTCTGTAGCTTATATACTAGTATCTAATCATTATTTTTGTTTTAGTAAGAATTTCAGTAATCATTAATTTTAATCTTATGACTTATTGATAAAAAATAAGGTGTGATATATTCCTTCTCAGATCCTTTCTATTTATCTTCTCTTAAATTCAGAATATCCAGTAGTAGTTATTAAATTTATCATAGTTTTAATCATCAAATGAAGTTAGAGAAATAAACTAATCCCAGCAATTATGACTCCTTCAAGCATCTTAATGCCCTAAAGTAATTGAGGAAACTTTATTATTATTTTGCTTAGAGTTTCTGACTTAAGAAAATGCTTTTTCCCTAAGTGATAAACATTGGGAAAGGCCTTCTTTTTTTTTATTAAAGTATAGTTGAGATGCAATATTATGAATTTCAGGTGTACAACACAGTTATTTAACATTTATATACGTTACAAATTAATCACCATGACAAATCTAGTAACCATCTGTCAATGTACAGTTATTGCAATAGTCTGTATTCCTTTGTGCTGTCCATTACATCCCCATAACTTATTTATTTATAACTGGGAGTTTGTACCTCTTATTCCCCTTCACATTTTCCCTCCCTCCCCTCAAGTTAAAGCTCTCCTTATATGTGTAGGTGAAAATTCTAAGACATGTTCATGAAATTGTATTAAGATGTATAGCAACTAGAAACAAATGAGATCAAAGCTACAAGAAACCATTTAACAATGAAAGTAAAACAAAATATCCTCAGTAACACTGGTGTAAAATTTACACTATTATAACTCAACTAGAGGCCCGATGCACGAAATTCGTGCAAGGGGCTCAGCCCTCACAGCCGCAGTGCCCGGCTTCGTCCTGAAGGTCGTCCGGGCAGTCGTTCTGCTGTTTGGCCATCAGGTCTAATTAGCATATTATGCTTTTATTATTATAGATAGCTCATAAAGGTCTCATTACTGAAACACTGAACTGGGAATGTTTTTGTGATTGTCTAATATTTAGTTATAAATCTGCTTGAGCACACTTTAGTTGTAAGCTTTTGTGCTTTGAAATACAATTGCAATGAATGTGAATTCTGGTGTGGGCACCAAGGACACAGATTTGTGAAGTAGGGCAGCTCAGTTTTAAATCCCAAGCCAGGCATACTGAAGTAATTACTGGCATGCAAAACTTGGAACTAAAATGGAACACAATGGTGTGTGCCTCACTAGCTAACGCTGCGCTATTGTTCCTTCAAACCTTCAGATATAAGAACTGTTGATTGATCTGGTGACCATCTCATTTCCTGATGACCTACCTGTGCTTGACCTAAAAGTTAGGTGATAGAAAGGAGGAAGATGAGGAAAAAGCGAACTCTGCTGTTCTCAAGTAGCCAAGAGTTGTTTCTTCTTACAAGGAATATGGTTGGAAAGAAATCTTGTGGCCTGATTCAAGTGTTGATAATATTTATAAGTCCACCAATGTCTGACTGAATGGTTCATACATGCCTTTCCAGAACTTTTTCACACTGCCTGTACAGTTTGGCATACTCCCTTGGCACCACTTACATCTTCATGAACTTACACATTTCCTGCCCTACTTTGTCCTACTAATTGTCACTGGGAGCCAACAAGTAGGGATCTGGGGAGGGATAGGGAGGGGGGACAAGTGACACCAGTTTTATTGTAGTGAGGACCAGCAGCAGTCATTTTCATTAAGCCTTCAGGACAGAAAGGAGGCTGGGGGCTCAAGGAGGAAGAGAACCAAAATGCAAGCCTTCCTGGAGGCCCCTGAAAGTATGTGTGGAAACTGGTATCCTTTTTGCATACAGAAGTAGCAATTGCTGAGGTCAGTGGAGGTATGGGAGTTACTGCAGACGAACACAACTGCTTCCAACCCCACTGGTAAAACTCCTTGCGGGCACTTTGAGAAAAAGGGAGCAAGTTTAAAAAAAAATTTCATTTCGGATCCTCGCAATGAAATCCTGGGGAGAGGTCCCTAAGAAACCCGGTCACCTCTGAAAACATCACTAGTGCTTGTGTCACTCCCATCTAGAGCAGTTCTTGAAGTGACGTGGGTAAGGGCCACCAGCCTCGTAATTATGGTCTGAAAGAGTTGCTGCTGTTTCCAGTTATTTGAAGTCACCGAGCCCTCAACAGTCATGTGGTCAACCCACACTCAGTGTTACAGGCAGAGAAGCCCCGACGTTTATTTTGAGAAATTTATTAACATGAGGACAAGCATCAGTTGTACATACAAATAGTCATTTGCACTGTGTGGTATTAGAGCAGAAGAACAGTTATAAATATATTTAAAAATCACAAACTATATGGGTTAAGGCACTATATCCTGTCTCATGTTTTCAATAAATATGCTGTTTTTTTAAAAAGGCAATTATGAGTACCTCCAATTAGGTGAATATAGGCACTCTATTATTAAAGACAGTCAGTTACACTTTGCTGTGACGATTGTATATTATTCTCAAAAGAACTTTCATTAGCTAAGATTAGCATTTAAGAAAACAACACAGAATATTTAAAAAATCACAGTTTTCTCTTTCCAGTTTAAGTCTCTTCCAGAGAGACCCATGTACAAAAGGTACTGTTTCTTCATATATCCCTTAGCACAAGGAATTACACATAAAGTATAAAAAGATTGCCTCCCAGGAAGTAAAGCCATCAGAGGGGCTGGATGTCTCAGAACCAGCAATAAATCTTTGAAAAAAGTTTTTCCTTTTTTTTTTTTTTTAACTGCAATAAAATCAGCTGAGTTTTAAAAACTCGACCTTTCAGCATCCAAGAAGGCTGCTTTGTAAGTGCCCTCTATTTAAGGAGCTTTACTAAGCAGTTGAGGGGAATCAGACCTGGCTCCTGTATTGTACAGTATAGACTGAGTTCAGAGAGGGAGTCACGTGGCCTGGGTGCTCATTCAGTACCACCAGTACTTCCTGATTATGCCCATTTTCTGTTTTTGCTGCCATGCCCAGCAGCTCACCAAGCATGTGCTCACGCTTTGTCTTAGTTTGGTCACCTGTCAGGGGACAGGGTTGCATTCGATGGTTTCTGTGGTCTTTTCCAGTTTTAGCAGCTCAGTAATCTGATGGCACGAATGGTTTTCAGTTATAGCAGCTGCTGCTGCAGTGTAAAGGCATAGCCTCTTCATAGAGGAGAAAAAGTAACTTTCCACAGTATTTCCTGGGTGGAAATCTCATCAAAGCACTCTATGCTATTTAATGACAAGACACGGTTTCACTGGAGTTATATTATTCACGGAAGTGCATTAAGACTTCTCTTATTAGTTAATAGAACTTTCATGGCAGAAGTAGGTTGCATAGATCTCTGAGAGTAAATTCACATTTTCACACATTCTCCAGTCAGATCATACTTCAGCACCTAAGAGATTGGGCAGTAGGGCTGTATACTACGTGAGGAGAAATATTAGGAAGAATCTTGATGTGAGTCACACCTCATTCAGGGTGAGAAATTATTTTGTTGTATAGAAGAGGCTGCCCATCTGATTTATTCTTGTGTGTAACATTGGTAGAGGGTAGGTTGGTAAAACTTAAGCTGGAAAATGTGCTTTCCTTTTTGGCAAGTAAACTAGACATATGGTCAGAGCTTTAAGAAATCTAGGACCTACCTGTTCAGATGCAGTAGACAATACAATTAATTTCATTCTAAAATGATAATATTGCTGTTAACCTGCTAAGATTTGGTCTTCAGTTTGACTTTTATATATTGAAGTTGACTCTAAATTTTAGACACAATTATTACCTCATTATAAACCACTAAAATCAGTCATTGAGAAACAGTTGGATTCAAAGCATCTACTCACAAAAATAGGAAAGGGAATCAAAAAGCACTTGAGAAAGAAGCTGGAGCCTAGGGCATTTAGCTGCTCTTCTCCAGGGACCTGTAGTAATCTGTCAGGACTTTCCACGCTTTGGGGGCCATGAAGCCGTCTGGGGGGTTCTCTCCTTCCCGGGCCAGCTTCCTCATGCGGGTTCCTGAGATGAAGTCAAACTCGTTGTGCCTGTCACAGGATAGGAACAAAGAACTCTGCGTAGGTAAATAACATCTTCCTTAAAGATTCCTGGAGTAGCTTATGGGTTCTGAGAACACATTTTTTTCCCCTTCTGTAAAATGCTGCACCTTCTAAAATGGCAATTCGTTAATTCTTCAGTTCAGTAAAGGAACTTGCAGAAGAAGGGGACATAATGCAGCTATCCATTCAATATGTACTGTGTCTACTCTGTTCACAGAAGTGTCTTGTATTGCTCTGCCTACTTCTGTGTGCTCTGAGTATGATTAGTGCCTCATAATGCTCATTAAAAGATTTTTCTGCCCCAGCCGGCATGGTTCAGTGGTTGAGCATCCACCTATGGACCAGGAGGTCACGGTTCAATTCCCATTCAGGGCACATGCCTGGGTTGCAGGCTCGATCCCCAGTGTGGGGCTTGCAGGAGGCGGCCGATCAATGATTCTTTCTCATCATTAATGTTTCTCTCTCTCTCCCTCTTCCTTCCTCTCTGAAATCAATAAAAAGAAAAAAAAAGATTTTTCTGGCCAAGCGGGTATGGCTCAGTGGTTGAGCGTCGCCTTATGAACCAAGAGATCCCTGGTTTGATTCCTGATCAAGGGCACATGCCTGGGTTACAGGCTCGATCCCCTGTCGGGGGCATGCAGGGGGCAGCCAATTAGTGATTCTCATCCTTGATGTTTCTATTTCTCTCTCCCTCTCCTTTCCTCTCTGAAATCAATCTACACTAATAAAAGAGAAACATGATAATTAGTGTACGACCTCTACCCTTTTCATTGGCTAATCAGTGAGTATATGCAAATTAACTGTCAGCCAAGATGGCGGCCGGCAGCCAGGCACTGAAGCGAGCAGGGAGGCTTGCTTGCTGCGGACTCCAACGTTCCCTGCCTCACTTGCCGGCCTCTCAGCTGCAAGTCTAAGCAACTATGTACTATGTTGCAAATAAGAAGGTAAACAAAACCCCAGAAACCAGCCTGACTGAAACCCAGCCGGACCGAAACATTGTATCGATGTTTTCAGCAGCGAGGCCTCAGAGCTAAAGCTGGCCCAGAATAAAAAAAAAAAAAAGAAGAAGAAAACAAGGAGTGGTTGGAAGCTTTAGTCACTTGCCACCGGGAAAACAGCCCTCAGCCCCTCAGCCAGACTGGCCAGGCACCCCAGTGGGGACCCCCACCCTGATCCAGGACACCCTTCAGGGCAAACCAGCCAGCCCCCACCTGTGCACCAGGCCTCTATCCTATATAGTAAAAGGGTAATATGCCTCCCGGCACCGGGATCAGCGTGACGGGGCAGCGCCCAAACCCCCTGATCGCCCTGCGGCTCTGTGTGTGACAGGGGCGGGGCCACAACCTCCCTATCCGCCCTGCTCTGTGCCTGATAGGGGGGAGCTCCCCAACCCCCTGATGGGCCCTCCTCTATTTGTGACAGGGTGCGGCGACCCAACCCCCCCCCCCCACGGGCCCTGCTCTGTGCCTGATAGGGGGGAGCTCCCCAATCCCCTGATCGGCCCTGCTCTGTGTGTGACAGGGTAGAGCCATAACCTCTCCATCGGCCCTGCCCCGAGTGTGACAGCGGTGGCGCCCCATCCCCCTGATCGGCCCTGCTCTGTGGGTGATAGAAGATGGCGCCCCAACCCCCCTCCACGGGCCTTGCTCTGTGTGTGACAGGGTAGAGCCATAACCTCCCCAATGGCCCTGCCCTGAGTGTGACAGGGTGCAGCGCCCCAACCCCCTGATCCGCCCTGCTTTGTGTGTGACAGGGGGCGGTGCCCCAACTCCCCTATAGGCCCTACTCTGTGAGTGACGGGGGGAGCTCCTCAACCCCCTGATCGGCCCTGCTCTGTGCGTGACAGGGGGGAGCTCCCCAAACCCCTGATGGGCCCTGCTCTGTGTGTGACAGGGTACGGAGCCCTAACCCCCCCTGATGGGCCCTGCTCTGTGAGTGACAGGGGGCAGCGCCCCAACCCCCTGATCGGCCCTGCTCTGTGCGTGACAGGGGGTGGCGCCGCAACCTCCCCATCGACCCTGCCTTGAGTGTGACGGGGTGGTGCCCCAACCCCCCAATCGGCCCTACCCTGAGCGTGACTGAGGGTGGCATTGCAACCTCCCGATCCGCCCTGCTCTGTGCATGACGGAGCGGTGGCCCAACTCCCCAATCAGCCCTGCTCTGAGCCTGACCAGGGGCTGCACTTAGGGATTGGGCCTGCCCTCTGCCACCCGGGAGCAGGCCTAAGCCAGCAGGTCGTTATCTCCCGAGGGGTCCCAGACTGCGAGAGGGCACAGGCCGGGCTGGGGGACCACCCCCCCTTGCCCCCCGAGTGCACAAATTTTTGTGCACCGGGCCTCTAGTAAAAATATATTTAAAAATATAAAATAAAATTTTAAAGAAAAAGAATTGAGGGTCAGATAAAGAGCTTCACAGACAAGAAAAAGCTAAAGGAGTTCACCACCACCAAACCAATATTACCTGAAATGTTGAAAGGTATTCTTTAAGAAAAGGAAAAAGAAGAAGATATAAAAAATATGAACAACCGCCCTGGCCGGTTTGGCTCAGTGGATAGAGCATCAGCCTGCGGACTGAAGGGTCCCAGGTTTGATTCCGGTCAAGGGCATGTGCCTTGGTTGCGGGCACGTCCCCGGTGGGGAGTGTGCAGGAGGCAGCTGGTTGATGTTTCTAACTCTCTATCCCTCTCCCTTCCTCTCTGTAAAAAATCAATAAAAATATATTTTAAAAAAAATGAACAACAAAATGGCAATAAATACATATCTATCAATAATTGAATCTAAAAATCAAAATAAATGAACAAGCAATCTAATGAACAAAATAAACTGGTGAATAACAGAATCAGAGGCATGGAAGAATGGAACACACTGACCAATCTAAGAGGTAAGTGGGGAGGGGAGGCAGGAAGAGATTAACCAAAGTTCTTACCTATGGACATAAACAGGATGGTAAAGGCTGGGGGCAGGGTGGGGAGGGAGTGGGGGGTAAAAAGGGGGACATTTGAAATACTCTCAACAATAAAGATTAAAAACAAAAAACGAATTTTCCTTTGAAAACCTACCTTTTGGGATCATAGAAGTCCATGGCTTTTTTGGCTTTGTTGTAGGCAGCCACTCGGAACGGAATGATTTCCACAGAGGTGAGGCCAGGGGCCATGCTCAGTACCTTGCCCCCGTGAGTGGGCTCATACAGGTCTTTCTTGGTCTCGGGGTGGGGCATTCCTGCAGGGTCCCGGCCCACAATGTAGAAGTTGGCCCCCGCAACCATCCGGGCCCTGCAGTGCCACTGGACCTAGGAAACATCAGGTAAGGGACACGCTGGTTATCCTTGGCCAATTCTTTACATGCCTTTATTCTGCTTTAAAGGTAATTCAGTAATGTTGGCCAGCTAATAATTGCAAGAAAGTCAGTGAGGTATCTAAGACTCCACCCTCTCTTCTTCATCTGCTTGGTTATGTTGGGTGGGACAGCAGTTTTAAAGATAAGAATCCCCCTCTTAGAAGCTGAGGTTATATTTCCTCATCTCTCCAAGGCTAGCAGACCAGGAACACTCAGATCTCACTTTTTACAGAACTGTGTGGATTTTACCCGCCAGTCCTCCTCTATTCAGAATAAATCACAGTTAAGGAAATTACAAGCTCCAGTGTCTCTTTTCTGACTGTCAAGAATGAGCCAATTACCTTTCATATGCATTGACTCCAGTTCAACACAGCAATGGGATTTCAAAATGAACTGTCTTCTTTAAAGCTCAGATAGAAACAGAGAGGGTGGAGAGGAGAACTAGGAGGCCTGGAACTTTGATCTGGTTAAAGAGATTTAATTTGTTAAACTCTGGGACATTCCAAAGGGTTGAGATCCTTTCAATTCATCACACTTCCTGCAAACTTGTTCAAATCCACTACACCAGTGGTGCCGTGGGACAGAGGTCTCTGATAGGCTCGCTGTGTGTTGAGAGGGACATATTCTCCGTGCGCTTCTAACGTAGCTCACAGAGATTGGAGACTCAGAGTCACTGGAACTTCAGAAACTGAATATTGGGTTAGACACAACTTGCCCTATAACCCAGTTAAGTGGTACGATCTACCTCATTTACATGCCAACTTCATATTCTCAAAGGTGGTGTCTGACAGGTTTGATTTGATGTTTCTAGCACTTTTATATGCACTACATGGAAACATAGGTCAGTTGGATAAAGAAGAGAGATCAGAAGATTTTAGAATCTGCTCATGACAAAGGAAGATCACAGAGACTCATTTGCTCTTTAAGTCAAGTTTGAGCCTGCACTTCTGAGTCCCATGGCCCAGCTCAGGGTACCGCTCACCTCTGTGGGGCCAGCATACAGCATGGGAGATGGGAAGATGGCGACGATGGTTGACTTGGGATCCAGGACCCCTTCCTCGAGCACAGCTGCGTGCTGCTTCATCCGCCAGTCCAGGGGCACATCGTCATCCTTGGTCCAGCCGCCCAGGGGGTGGAGCAGGAGGACCGGGTGCTTGTACTCCCTCTGTAGGAGGCGGCGGCGGGTGTCCTGCATCAACAGAGCGTGGCCATTGTGCACAGGATTGCGCAACTGGAAGGCAAACACCGCATCTGGGCAAGACAACAGGCCAAGGTCAGAGAAATACAGTGTGGCTTGTCTGCAGGAACAGAAAGATGCAGCTGTGTGTATTGTTCAGTGCATTCATTATAGCTACTTGTTTTTGATAATCAGCTGGAGAATCCACCTGGGCCTCTAGGGGTGTTACTCCAAAGGTGCCAAGGTCAGACTGTTCACACAGGGACAGGGCGCAGAGGCAGGAAGCCCGAGAGGGAGAGCCTGATGCAGAAATGAAAGCGTTTGTTGGCAGGACCTTTGCAGCAAACCAGGCTCAGGCAGGTGCCCACTGCAGTCATCAGTTCCTGCTCCAGTCTCATTTCCCCGGAGTGGGGGGGGGGGGATAATGAGGGACATTTCCTGGGGCCCCTGCAAGGTATCAACAATCTAGCGATATAATTTCAAATCTTCTCTTTAAGGGAAACTTCAAAACTACTTGACTTAGTGATGGATACCTGAGAGCCTTTTTCTTTCTGGTTATGAAATAATATATAGCCATTATGGAAAAGTTGGGAGATACAGAAAAGTCAAAAATATAATATAAAAATCACTCATAACCTTATTGTTTTTTCTCCATCTTTTTCAAAATATGTGATGTGAAAATCTTCCCTCCCGTTGGTCCAATTCCACCCCCAGAGGCAGCTGCTGTTGTCAGCAGGCAGCCTGGTGCTTGCTGCCAGACTGCTGCTTCCAGACACAGAGCTTCGGGTTTTAAAAACAATCATCATATTTTATTTTGTTTTTCAGAATTGTTATATGGTTCTGCAAGTTGCTTTTTCGCTTAATAAATACACTTTGGGTATCTTTCCGTGTCGGTGCATATTTTTAACTGCTGGATAGTGTTCCAGTGTGTGGATGTAGTTCAACTTTGTAAACTGTTTCTGTATCAACAGACATACCAGTAGATGTTTCCGGCTTTTTTAAACTATAAACGTGCTGTTGCTGATACCCTTAATCCGGTCATCAGAGGGTGGTAAGGAGTAGAAATGCATCCGAGCCAGCATACGTACCAGCATTCATCTCTTTACATTTCTGCTTGAGCTCCAGAGGTGTCAGGCGGTACTGGTCCAGCCCATCGTTCCACTTTATTCTTTCCAGCACCTGAAGGTCTCCACCAACCAGCCAATCCCCACTTTCCATCACCATCTAGAAAGAAAATTATTAGAATTAGTCATTAATATGGACTTCTGTATACTTGAAAATTTTTCTCTTCGTGGACCAATCTTGGGTTAGCATTGACTACCTTGAACGCTTCAGCAATTCTCGCATGGTATTTATCAAACTTTTGGGTCTCTCAGTCCCTTTCCACTCTGAAAATTTATTGAGAACCCCCAAAGGGCTTCTGTTTATTCACGTTATATCTAGCATTACTTTCCATGTTAGAAATTCAAACAGAAACAAAATAGACCCAGAGGGCCATGATGACATGGGACAAGGCCAAGCACAGAAGAGACGGACCGCTCGGCTCCAGGCCAAGAGCCGGCTCTCCACACGACCATATTCCAGCAGAATCAAGGCGCCTGAATTTGAACCTGGCCTTCCAGATTGTTATCAAAGCATAGCTGTCAAGGTAGAAAGATAAAAATATTTAAATTTATTGAATATATAACTTTTAAAGATGATATGTGGGCTTCTTTTGTATTTCTACTGTGGGACCCACAAATGTGAGGTGTGAGAGTGGTGTGAGGAATGGTCAAAGTAATGAAAAAGGCAACCATGATAGTGTTGGATGAAAGGAGCGAAGGTGAGCACTCCCTTCGACAGGGATGGACAGATGAGGCCCTTGGGCCTGACAACAGGCATGGCTAGGCATCACCACGTGCTTTGTGGCATCTAACCATGGTTTTTACATTGTATATCTTTTTTTAAAAATATATATATTTTTATTGATTTTTTACAGAGAGGAAGGGAGAGGGATAGAGAGTTAGAAATATACATGAGAGAGAAACATCGATCAGCTGCCTCCTGCACACCCCCCACTGGGGATATGCCCGCAACCAAGGTACATGCCCTTGACTGGAATCGAACCTGGGACTCTTCAGTCCACAGGCCGATGCTCTAGCCACTGAGCCAAACTGGTCAGGGCTACATTGTATATCTTAAACTTACACAGTGTTATATGTCAATTACATCTCAATAAACTCACAAAAAAGAAAAACATGACAACCTTTGTTGTTTCAGTAAACACGTATACTGTAGTAAAACCAGTGCCAACTTAGAGCCAGTGTCCATCCTCAAGCATTGAGGGGGGGAGTCGTTCAGGGAATGTGGGGTTAGAATAGAACCATGATTTTCAACAATGAGTGGTTTTGACAGCATCTGAAGACCATTTTAACTGTCACAACCGGGATGGGGAAGTTGTGCTATTGGCATCTAGTATGTAGAGGCCAGAGGTGCTACTCAGTATCCTACATTGCACAGGACAGCCCCACAACAAATAATTCCCAGCCCAAATGTCAATAGTGCTGTGGCTGAGAAGCCCTAGGTAGAGAGAGGGGGGTTGTGCAAGGGATTTGGTTATGTTTTCATGACCCCTAAACTCTGTGCTCAGGAAAATCACTTAGGAATATTTTCAAATGCCTATACCTATACATTTACTTTCTCCTCATTGCTTAAGTTAGACTATAGATACATTTTTGAAAGATTTAAGACCCCCAAATCCCTGGGAGTGTAGTAATTCATTTTGGACGCTAGGGGTCCACCCTATACTGATTCCATTCATAAGGGGGTGTTGAACCAATGGTCACTCCCCAGAGTGATCCAATGGTCCCCAAAACTGGCTCTGCCTAATTTTCTCTAAGTCCCCACCTCTTGCCAAAGACAAGCCTGGAACCACACAGAGCTAGAGATTTGCAGAACTGCACACACAGAGAGAAATGAGTAACAGGCTTTAAGAAAGGCTAGTGAAGTAGTAAAAGGGTAATCGGTCTCAGAATCCAGAGAGCAGGAATGCAAAAAGGAGGAGAGGATGACTTCATACACTAGGATGAAGATTGCGAAAGGTGAATCGGCTCAAAGAGGGCAAGTAGAGGAAGACTTGAAAGAAACAACCTGGAGAGGAAGAGGGAATATGCAAATCAGAAGGAGAGGAGCAGCTGAGGACAGGAAGGTGCAGAGGTCAGAATGAAAAAGGGAAAGGAGAGAAGAGAAAGAAAGCAGAAGGAAGGGGAGAAATGGAGAGTTCAGAAAACGGGGTTCAGAGAACAGAATTGAGAAGAAAAAATAACATGTGACACAAGTGGAGAATATATACTCATTTTTGTGATATCTATTGTCATGGAATTCTGGGGCTGTAAGGAACCTGTAAATCACATGGACTCAATGTCCACATTTCCAGAGAAGGCAGTTTCACAGAGAGGAACTGGCGGAGTTCAAGTGAAAAGAGCTGTCAGCTGGAACCCATATCTAGGACTCCTCCAAACCAGGCTCTTCCCACTGCACCACTGCCCCTCATCAGTGGTCTCCATGCTGCTATTTCCGCACTGCCTTCAGAAGCATCCTCCATCCATCCTCCACCCAGTCAGCACTTCCTCTGTGCCAGGGCCTGGGCTTGCTGCTAGGGAGTTGATGGTGAATAAGATAAATCAAGATGTGGTCCCCGATCTCATGGTTTGGCAGTCTGAGTGGATTGCCAGAAGAGTAAACGGGCAACAATACTGTGGAACAGGACACGGGCAAAGGACTCTGGAGCACAAAGTGTTCTGGGAGGACAAAGAAGGGACACCCAGTCAAGCTCATGGGTCATGGGAGTAAGGCCAACTTCTTAAAGGGGAAAGGAGTAACAAATACGGTGAGGAGGCAGGGGTGAAGGAACAGTGTCCTAGGTTGAGGGACTAGCATATGCTAAAGTAAGAGAGAGGATGTTGAGTGGTGAGGATGACTGGAGAAGATAATATGTTGAGTGGTGGTGGTAAGAGAGAGTATAAAGTCATATGATCTTTACGAAGAATTCCTAAATAAAGCTTGAATAGTTTACTGTAGCCAAAAAATAGAGAAAGGATCAGAATCAGAGAGGAGTAAGGTAAGAGGGAAGAAATGAAATGTCCTGGCACAGGCTGAAACAGAAATTCAAGCAATACAAGAGGCAGAAACATCAGGATTGGTGACTGCATGAACAAGGGAGAAGACAGAAGTAAGAATGACACCCAGGTTTGGGACATGGCCAACATTTGGATGGTGGAGCTGCCCCCTGAGTGGGGGGACACAGGAAAGGGAACAGGTTTGGGGAGAGGTTGCAAATGTTGAGTGCAAGGTGCTTGCAGGAAATATCCACAGGGAGCCATACAGGACAGAGCTCTGGATAATTATCTAATGCAGTGGTTCTCAACCTTCATGGTACATTAGAATTACAGGCAACTTTTACCCCCAACACCCAGAACTGACCCCAAGGCAACCAAAATCTGTGAGGGTGGGTAATTTTTTAAGCTCCCCAGATGATTCTGTTGGTCGAATTGACCATATGGTCTTCATGGTCTTCACTGCAAAGCTAAAGGGAAGTCACACTCTGTTCTCCTGGTTTCCACGTCTATAAAAGGGGACTACTTCACAAGAGCATTGTGGGAAATAATTACTATCTAGAGAAGCTTTGAGAGCTATGGATTAAAGGCAACAGGGCTCCTCCCAGCACTATTTTTATAAGTTTCACCTGCTCCTCCTCATGATTTCATCTGAGATCATGTCACATGGTCCCATGTTAGTGACTTGAGAGAGAGGGTGGGGATGACTTGAATGGAAGGTCAAGGTGACTTCACTGAGGAGCAATGCAATAGAGGCAGACCATTTCCTTGGTGACTGTGACCATTTTCCATGTAACTATCACTCCCAGTGCCACATGGAAATATAAGACCTATGACTACTTTTAGACGAAATTACTTTTGGAAGATTTGGTGTGTGGTTTTTTAAAAAACACATGAGATTAAGTATTACTGTGAATTTCAAGGTGCTAAAAAATACAACGCGAAGAGTTTCTTTCCCAATAAAACCCATGTGTTGTGTGTCTGGTAAACACACCTTCAGCACTCCAAGTGTAGTGTTTACAGGGTGAGTGTCTTTCTCTGGTTATCCATGGCCCATTTCTCACCATTAGCTAGCTCACTGGGAATGTTTGCAGAGTTCCTCTAATAACCTAATGGTACAGAGTCACTGACTATAATGTCAAGGTCACAGTTTCATCACCACTCTCCCTGGCTTCTAAGAAATTCTGAGCTCCAACTGCCAACACAGGTTGCAAGATAAGATGAAAAGAAATAATTCCTTAGATTTTGTTTGTTTGGTTGGTTGGTGTGCTGTTGTTGCTTTTTTCCTTTTAATGCTAATCATGTGTATGTGGACGTCAGGCCCAAAGAGTAGAACTACCTGAACTGGCCTGAGGACAAGCAACTATTCCTTAGGTCACTGAGTGAAGATGAGATCACAAATCTATATGATTACTATCAGCATAATGAAGGCCCACAACAGAATTCCCCAAATAGCTCTCAGTTTAGCAATTTACAGGACAGTCTGCCAGCCTCTGGGAGAGAAACTGTTTGGATGGCTCTGAGATGGATGTGCATGAAGTTTCCTAGTAAAGAGGATTGCCTTGGCTCAGTGTGGCTCAGTGTCCTCCCATGCACCGAGGTTGCCAGTTCAATTTTCCGTCAGGGCACATGCCCAGGTTTCAGGTTCAATCCCTGGCCAGGGTGTGTGTGCGAGGCAACCAATCGATGTTTCTCTCTCCCTCCCTCCCTCTCTCTCTCTTTCTCTTCTCTTCTCTTCTCTTCTCTTCTCTTCTCTTCTTTCTTTCTCTCTCTCTCTCTCTCTCTCTCTCTCTCCCCTCCCCCCTCTCTCCACCCCTCTCCCTTTCTCTCTCTCTCTCAAATCAATAAAAACATATTTTAAAAAAGATGAAAACTCAATAAAACTATTTTTAAAAAAGATTAAAGATGCTTATCTGCAGGGTGGAGAGTTTGGTCCAACAAATGAAAAACTGCCTTGCAGCCGACTGACCTTGTCCATCAGAGGCTGCCACCAGCGGCCTTGGAAAAGCCCTTCCTATCTTGCAACATTTCAGGTAAAAAAATAAAAACATGTTTTCCCAACAGATTGGAACAGATTTATTTAAACATTTTGCAGGGTCTTGGTGCTGAAAAAGATCTTGGAGTTATTTT